CAGGGCCAGGGCTGAGCAGCAGGGCAGGGCCCCTGAGTCCCTGGGCCTCACTTGGGTGTAGGCTCCACCCCGGTGTAAATGGAGTGACTGGATCGACACCGAATCCTAGTGCCTGTTCCTGGTTTCCTGGAGCCGCAGGCCCTGTGCCACCCTGTGCCCTGACACGGCCTGGCGAGGACCCCCTGCCGTCACAACCCGCAGGCGGGGGGTGCCAGTGGCACCAGGGGTGTTTTCCTTAATTAGAGCCCTTTTCATTAGAGTAATTAAAGCGAGCAGCCGCAGCAGAGAGCGTTTAGTTAATGCGCCAGCGCGGGAGGCACTGCTCCCAGCATCAGCTCCGCTCTCACCCGTGCATCTGTGGGCGGCACCGCTGGCGGCACAGGCGGGCACGGAGCAGGCCCCTGGGCCAAGCCGAGACTGGGCCAGCTGCGGCTTGGCCAGGGACCAGGACTTGGCTGGGGGGCAGGTTGTGGCGGGGGACAGGGCACGGGGCCAGGTGTCCCCCCCTTGGCATGGCGGGGCAGATCCTGCGCCGTGGGGAGGCCGAGCCCCCCGGAGCCGTGCCCGGGGCGGGGAGCTGGCTCGTGGGCGCAAGCAGCTGGGCCGGGCAGGACGTGGTTGACCCTGGGCACGGGCAGCAGGCTGGGGCCACAGCTGGCTGCAGGCCACGGAGAGGTCGGAGCCCCAACACCCTCCCTGAAGCCCGGCGGCCTCACAGCAACAACAGGCCTCAGCCCGCGGGGCCCGTCTCACACAAACGAGCACGGGGCAATTAGCAGGCGCTGGGGGGAAGGCAGTAATGAGGACCCGGGGGGGGCGGTATATCAGGCTCCTGTGTGCAGCCGTCTCTAAGCAACCCGGCAGCGTCTCCGGTGCCAACAGGCCGGTGCTGGGCATGTGCCCACCCTGCCCGCACGCCCGGGGCGAGCGCTGGGGGGGTACGGGGCGCTCCGGGCAGGGGTCTCCAGGCTCAGCGCTCTGCGACCGGCCAGTTGGCAACAGCTGCGTAGGGCAGGGGAGACTGAGCCGTGGCAGCTCTCGTGGCAGAGGCCGACACGGGGCCCTGGGTGCCCCCAGCCGCCAGTGCCGGGGGTGGGCTGCTCTCAGCCCTGGCACACGGGGGTCTTGGTGCCACCTGCTGTGGGGCCTGGAGCTGCCCAGCGGTCAGAGGGGCATGGGGGTCCCAACTCCCTGGAGCCAGGGTCCAGGCTCCCGCCCTCCAAGAGCACGGCCCCAGGCAGGGGAGAGCCGGTGGGGCTGCTGCTGACCCCTCGGCCCCCGGGCAGGTGGACATCGAGCAGCTGGACCCCCGGGGCCGCACGCCACTGCACCTGGCCACCACGCTGGGCCACCTGGAGTGCGCCCGCGTCCTGCTGAAGCACGGCGCTGACGTGGGCAAGGAGAACCGCAGTGGCTGGACGGGTGAGCGGGCGCCGCGCTGGGCCGGGGCCTGGGCGTGATGGCGGGGAGCGGGTCTGGGGCCGGGGCCGTGCCCGCCCTGGCAAAGCTGACCTGCCCTGGACCCAGTCCTGATGCCCATCTGCACCCGGCAGTGCTCCAGGAAGCCGTGAGCACCCGGGACCTGGAGCTGGTGCAGCTGGTCCTGCGTTACCGCGATTACCAGAGAGCTGCCAAGCGCCTGGCGGGCATCCCCATCCTGCTGGAGAAGCTGCGCAAGGTACGGGCGCCCCCGCCCCACCCCTGTGCCCAGCCTGGTGGCTGGACGGGGCTGGCGCGGGCCCCTCTCACCTGCCCCCTCTCCTCCCTCCAGGCCCAGGACTTCTACGTGGAGATGAAATGGGAATTCACCAGCTGGGGTGAGTACCGGGCTGGATCTGGGCAACTGTCTTGGGGACCCCCCCTGCCGCCGGCCAGCTGCCCCCTGACCCGTCCATGCCTGCCCGTCCGTTCCTCCATCAGCGCCTGCGAAGCCGCCTGCACCCCGGGGGCTGGGGGCAGCCCCTTCCCGCCCCCTAACACTGCCGCTCCCCCAGTGCCCCTGGTCTCCAAGATCTGCCCCAGCGACACCTACAAGGTGTGGAAGTGTGGCCAGAACCTGCGCGTGGACACCACCCTGCTGGGCTTTGACCACATGACCTGGCAGCGGGGCAGCCGCAGCTTCGTCTTCCGGGGACAAGGTCAGTGCGGCCCCCTCCCCGCCCCAGCGCTGGCCGGCGCGGGCGCTCACCCTGACGGAGCCGGGCGCAGGGTCCCAGACCGGCATCGCCAGTCAGGAGCCAGCGGGCAGAGCCTGGGGGGCTGGGCGGAAGGAAGCAAGAGCAAAGCAGCGTGGGCACCCGCCCCCATGCTAGCCCCTGGCACGCCCTTGCATGTGTGCACACGCAGCCCCTCACCCTGCCTCGCATGCGCGTCTCCCGTGCATGCACCCAGCCCCCGCACGTGCCCACCCAGCCGGGCAGCCCCTGCTCGTGCCTGACCACAGCCCCCTGCTCCCCCAGACACCAGCGCGGTGGTGATGGAGATCGACCACGACCGGCGCGTGGTGTACTCCGAGACGCTGGCCCTGGGCAGCCACGACCGCGAGGTGCTGCTGGCTGCCGTGCAGCCCACCGAGGAGCAGGTGATGGGGCGGCTCACGGCGCCCGTCGTCACCACACAGCTCGACACCAAGAACATCGCCTTCGAGAGGTGGGTGCAGCACAGCCCGCACCAGGGAAAGGGCACGGTGGGGAGGCCGCGGGCTCGCTGGGGGGTGAAAGTGCCATGCCATGGGCGTGCCAGCTCAGGGCAGGACCAGGCCACGGCTCTCAGCCGCCTCATCTCGCCGTCAGGAACAAGACGGGCATCCTGGGCTGGAGGAGCGAGAAGACCGAGACGGTGAACGGCTACGAGACCAAGGTGAGGGGCAGCACCAGGGGAGCTGGGGCAGCAGCGCCGGGGCCAGTCCTTCCAGGTGCCCGAGCTCTGCCAGCAGCCTTGGTGCAGACTGAGCTGCGGCACCCCAGGCGGTGAAGCTCCCGGGGCGGCACGGCTGCCAGGGTGACATCCCAGGGTGCAGGGCCATGCCCACGGGCAGCCGCAGCCTGCGCCACTTGCTCTCCTCGCCCAGGTCTACGGCGCGTCCAACGTGGAGCTGATCACGCGGACGCGGACGGAGCACCTGTCCGACCAGCACAAGGGCAAGAGCAAAGGTAAGGCCCGGTCCGGCATCTGCACAGGGTCCCCTCCCGCCTGCCCGTGCAGGCTGAGCTGCCAGCTGCCCTGTGTCCCGCAGGCAGCAAGACGCCGCTGCAATCCTTCCTGGGCATCGCGGAGCAGCACATGGGCCACAACAACGGGGTGAGTACCCGGGTGGACGCTGGCCAGCCTGCCCACCTGCCCCCTGCCCCCACCTAACGTGGCTCGGGGCCCCGTGCAGACGCTGATCACGCAGACCCTGAGCCACACCAACCCCACGGCCATCACGCCCGAGGAGTACTTCAACCCCAGCTTCGAGCTGGGCAACCGCGACATGGGGCGGCCCATGGAGCTCACCACCAAAACGCAGAAGTAAGGCGGCCGGTGGTGGCGGGGTGCGGGGGCAGGCCTGGCCTGCCATGGGCAGCGCCTGCCCTGCCCTGGCTCCGGCCGCGTGTCTCCCGCAGGTTCAAGGCCAAGCTGTGGCTGTGCGAGGACCACCCGCTGTCCCTGGGCGAGCAGGTGGCGCCCATCATCGACCTCATGGCCATCAGCAACGCGCTCTTCGCCAAGCTCCGCGACTTCATCACGCTCCGCCTGCCGCCCGGCTTCCCCGTCAAGATAGGTGAGGCTTGCGGCTGCTGCCCCGGTCCTGCAGCCCGCGCCATGCCCCTGGCTGTCCCCAAGCCTTCACACCTCTGTGTCCCGCAGAAATCCCCATCTTCCACATCCTCAACGCCCGCATCACGTTCGGGAACCTCAACGGCTGCGACGAGCCCGTGAGCTCCCTGCGCCGCAGCCCCAGCAGCGAGGCCCCGTCCCCCAGCAGCGACTCCTCCAGCGTCAGCAGCTCCAGCTCCCTGAGTACGGGCCGGGGGCAGCGCGACCCCGGGCTCCAGGGACCGTCTACAGGCTGGGCCGAGGGGAGGGGAATCCTGGGGCTCCTATTGGCACCCCTGGCTGAGCCCCGCTATTTGCCTAAGCTATGGGGAAGGCTGGCCCAGCAGCCGGTGGGAACCAACCTAGCCCCCAAGCATGCTGGGAGCTGGGCACGAGCCAGAGCAGGGCATGCTGGGATGGGTAGTCCACATGGCACCCCCAGCCTCCCCCGTGACGCGTGTGCCCGGCCCCGCAGCCTCATGCCGGGCGTGCGAGATGGACCCATCACTGTTCGAGGTGCCACGGGGGTACAGCGTGGTGGGCAGCCACCCCGACACCACACGGGAGGACGACGACGACCTGCTGCAGTTCGCCATCCAGCAGAGCTTGCTCGACGCCGGCAGTGAGTACGACCAGGTGGGTGCTGTGTCGCGCCGCGCTGTGCCCCCACACTGCTGCGAGAGGCCCCGTTTGGTAGGGCCTGCAGGGAGGCAGTGCAGAGGCCAGTGAGGGGGTAATGCGCTGCTGCGTGCTCCTCATTGCAGGTCACCATCTGGGAAGCACTGACCAACAGCAAACCGGGCACACACCCCATGTCCCACGAGGGCCGCCGAGCAGACAAGTGGGTAAAGCCTGGCCAGCCCCTGCCCGAGTCCCCCGGGGCGCCCTGCCCTCCTCACCCGTCTCCCTCCCCGCAGGACTCCCCAGCACACGCCGCCCCCCCGGCCAGCCGCCCCCCAGCCGCCACCGCCGGCGAGTGGGGGTGGCGGAGGACCCAGCCCTGCGCTGGGCAGCTACGACCAGCAGTTGCGCCTGGCCATGGAGCTGTCGGCGCGGGAGCAGGAGGAGGCTGAGCGGCGCACGCGGCAGGAGGAGGAGGAGCTGCGGCGCATCCTGCAGCTCTCACTCACCGAGCAGTAGCCCTGCGCCGGCGGCGGGCTCACCCGCTCCTGAGCGGGGCATGGGGGCCCCCATGCTGCGCCGCAGAAGGTGGACGAGACGTAGGCTGGCCCGACAGCACACTGAGCCACGCGGGGACCACGCCAGCAGGACAATGGGTGGGGGATGCTGGGGCTCCGCTCTGGCCTGGCCCCCCATGCACGTGCTGGCCGCGGTGCTGGTCCCAGAGCCCCCTACCCAGCTGGGGTGGGTCCTGCTGGGTTTGCAGGGGACGGGAACAGACAGGGCCAGGCCGGGTTCAGCTCCTGGAGCTGCTCCCGGCCCTGGGGGGCAGGACGCAGTGGGGAGGGGGGGCATACCCCAGTGCTCAGGGCAACGAAGCAGGAGTCCAGGGGGCTGCAGGCAGCAGGGACCGTGTCTGACTCTCCTGCGCCGCATGGGCAGGGGCTTCTCTCCCCAGCAGCTGCAAACTGGGGCCCCCGGCCGACCCGCTCACCCCTGCACCCTATAGCACACTGGCTCTCGGGGCAGGGATGCCCCGGGGCTGCCACCTCCCCCGGCCACTAACTGTGCACTGAGCCCACGGCCCCCAGCCCAGCCTGGCGCAGGGGGACGGTGCGAGTCCTGGGGCCGCCCCACGCCACTGGCGTTCCCCAACACGGCCGCTCCAACAGCATCAAGTGCACTTACCCAGGAGCCACCAGCCCTGCCGGGCACTGCCCCGGCTGAGGGAGCCACCACTGCCCGGGAGCCAGTGCCCAGGCCAGCCATCGCCTGGCGTCCCCGGGGCAGCCCAGTGGGGCAGGGCAGGGGCAGGAGGAGCTGAGGGCACCCTGGGCAGAGGTGGGGTGGAGTCTCTGGGGTGCCCCATCCTCTCCCCGCAGGGGCTCCCCCACAGTGCCCAGCATCCCCACAGGCCCCTGCGGCAGCACACCCCCGATAAACCCGATGTCAAATGGTGCTAACTCCCACAAATGCCCTACGGGCCAGGGCCGGCTCGGAGGCTGCTGGGCCCAGGGGCCGTGAGCCCTGCAGGGAGCCGGGGCAGGGGTGCAGGTCCTGGGGGGCGATGCTGGGGCAGGGACTTTTCTTAACTAACCCTCCCGCACCAGGAGCAGGCCAGGACGCTCGGCCGTGAGAGCAGGGCCCCGGTGGTCACCAATAAACTGTCTTTCCCGTGTCTCTTGTGCCGGGCTCGTGGCCTCGCCAGGCTGGGGAGTGGGGAGAGTCCAGAACCAGCTCCCTGCATAGCCGCGGGGAGCGGGGGCACCCTGGGCAAGTCAGGATGCAGTGGCTGCTGGGCTCCCGAAGCCCCTGGGCCGTGTCGGCCCCACCAGGCAGCTCAGAGCGGGGGTTGTAGGCCCCCCCGGGTGGCTCTGGCCCCGATGCCCCCCACGCTTGGGCATGGACCAGGCAGGCGCAGTCGGAGCATTTAGCCATTTATTAGCGCAGGGCCGTGAAGGTGCCACGGGGGCGGATGGATGCAGCCTCGAGCGCTCCCTGAGCTCGCTGTGGCCCCAGCGGGGCTCAGCACCCTGCCTGCGGGGCACTGGCTGCACCTGTCTCACCCCCACCCTGGGCAACGAGATGCCCCCGACTGGCTCTGAGGCCACAGGTGCCCCAGGGACACGTCCACGGCTGGCCCGGCCTCTGCCCCCCACAGCCCCCCCGGACCCCAGCTGGGTCCCTAAGTCACTGGCTCTGCCCGTGAGGGTCCAGTGTCCTCAGAGCCACTCCTGGCACCCGGGCCAAGCTGGCCCCAGGCTGCCCACCCCCAGGGGCTGTACCCCCAGCACATGCAGCACAGTGGCCCTGCCCCACGGAGCAAACCAAGGCCTTTCCCTGCAGCACCCAGCCCCTGGCCTAGGGACCTGTCCTGCACCCCACACCCCGCAGTCCATCGCAGGGCACAGCCATGTCTCGCCAGGGGCCGTGGCGGGGAGCGTCCCCAGGAGAGGCCCGGCTGGTACCAGGGTGGCTGGGGGCACGCGCCCCCACAGCCCCGGGAAAGAACACAGCTCGGCCTCCCCGCTCGGGCTTGGTTTTAATCCCGTCAGCAGGGCTGGGCCCAGTCCTGGCCGGCCGTGGGGCGGGGGCCACTAGTCCGTGCCGTTGGTGAACTGGCCCAGCTTGTGCTCCAGCTCGGAGATGCGCTTCTCCTGGGCCTGGACAGCCTGCCGCAGCACCCGGATCTCCTCCAGCAGCTCCTCCAGCGTCAGGCGCTGCAGGGGGAGCACGCACGTCACTGCCGGGGCCGTGGCCGGGCAGGCACCAGGCCTCCCCTTCCACCCATCAGGCACTCGCCGCAGCTCGGCCCTGGCACTCACCGAGAAGTTGGTGTCGCTGGAGGACTGGCTGCGGCCTGGTCCCAGCGGTGGCCGGTTGTCCAGCACATTCTTCCTGACCACCTTGAGCTCGCGGTTCTTGACAGGCACGTAGCCGTCACGCAGCGAGACGAGGATGGGCTCCGCGTCCTTGCCCGAAAGCCACTCATCCGCCTCCAGCGCAGGCTCGGGGCCCGGCGTGTCGGGGTACAGGTCATCTTGGAAGAGGTCAGACTGCAGGGAAGCCAGCCACGGCCCGTGACGGGGGAGCCAGGCCCCGCAGGCCCCACCCCGCCCCGCCTGGGGACCCGGGACTGGGCAGGGCAGGCGCCCGCGCCACTCACCTTCCGTGGCACCGTCATGGCAATGGGCTCGCACTTCCGCTCGTGCAGCTTGAAGAACCTGTGCGGGGCATGGGTGCAGTTGTGGGTGCGGCTGCCTTGCAGGGCACCCTCCCCGCCGCGAGCCCTGCAGCCCAGTGCCCCATGGCAGACATGCGGGTGCAGGCTGGGCACAGCGGCAGGGACATGAGAAGTCCCGCCACCGTGCGCCCCACTCACCGGGCGATCTCGCACTTGCTGACGTCCAGGCCCCTCTTGGGCATGAAGCCCATGCCGCGCTGCGGCTCCTTGCTGCTGTAGGTGCTCAGGTAGTGCACGTAGGGCGGCTCATCCGTGATCTCGAAGTACCGGATGCTGCTGTCCCCCTGCCCGCGGGGGAGGAGGGAAGGGCCAGGCATCAGGTGCGGGCAAGGGGCTGGGATCCCTGCACGCTGGCTGGTGCGGGGCTGGTGCCCGGCAGGAGGAGCAAGCAGGAGCCGCCCGGAGAGCCCGCGGGCTCAGGCCCCGGCTACCTTGCCGCACAGGTAGACGATGCTGGAGTCGGGATCGTAGAAGGGCAGCAGCACCCCGTTGCTGGTGTCCATCTCCTGCAGGGCGATGGGCTCCTCGAAGCTCTTCTGCGGGGGCAAGGGGGCGGTGAGCATGGGGGCACCGCTAGTGTCACACACCTGCTCTGTTCCCTGCATGCCCAGGTGCACCCCCAAAGAGCCCCCGCCTGGGGCCCTCACTGCCCCAGGATGCAGTGGGGCTGTCCCCAGCTCTCGGCCTCCCTGTAGCCCCAGCTCTAGAGCCCACCGCGGCTCATCCCCGAGCCCCCCAGGCACCCCCCGCCCCCAGCAGCCTGGCACAGCTCCCTT